GCGGCATCGTACCTTCGCGTTCCCTCTTCCCCGCGGACCCCTCGCCCATCGGTTTCGCGCGGTCCCCCTCCCCCTCTCCGCGGACCCCTCGCCTGCCGGTTAGGTTAGGTTAGCGGATCCCTCGCCTATCGGTCAGTACGTGGTCCCCCTCCTCCCTCTCCGCGGACCCCTCGCCTAATGGTTTCGCCGCGGTCCCCGCGTGACGTCATACCCCCCCGCGCCGGTTTCCCCTCGCTTCTCACCCCCCCCCTCAGAGGACCTGGGTTAGAACTCTCCTATATACTCTACTAGGGTGACGGCATACGGAGTTGCAGTATTCTCAGATTGATCGCAATGCTCATTTTCGGTAGCATTATTAACGCTAGCGGCGTTGTTTGCGTTAGAAACATTACAGTTAACGTCGGAAGAAGAGCTCGAATCAAGGTAAAGTGACGAATGATGTCATTGTTGGCAAGTTCTACACGAGAATCGACTGGTACACTCTTGAACTGAATGTTTTATGCTGAGACAATTGAAACACCGTTTGGATTGTTTTACAATTTCGCGTCGTTACTCTTATTCAAAAATTATGCACATTTGCTAAACTAATGCTGCTTCTTACATAATGTACAAGTCTGTTCTGAAGTGTCGGAGTTAGTCGCGTTATTGACTTTAACGTGTCGAGTCGATTTTGAATTTAGCGGAGCTAATTCATCAAGCGCGATAGCGCGCGACGAAATAAACTTTGTCAGCTCGTCAAATGGGAGAGGAGATGATTCTGTACTGCATTTTAATTTCCATGCTCGGCGAGTGGACGGATCGAGCTTTTGAACGACGAAGTAGCCGAGAATATCGTTAAGAATTTGTTCCAATGATCGCCCAAGACACCTCAGAGCAGAGATGAATTTGTCGGCCATATCGCGTAGCGAGTGTAATTCGACGGCCATTCCCGCGACATGGGAGGTAAATTGTATAATGCGGCGATGTGAAGAGAATAAGTTTCTTCTTGCTCTTGAAGCGAGCTTGGAGCACTTTCCATGCGACGGAGAAATTTTCCGCGATGATTGAAATATTGGAAATGACTTAAGCGGAGCCGGTTAAACTTGATACGAGGAAATGCATTTGCGAGAAATCGGAGAGATCCTTATTTTCAGTGATTAATGCGGTGAATCTATCGCGAAAGCTCTCCCATTCTGTGAAATTGCCTGAGAACGGCGGCAATTTGATCGGCAGCAAATGCTTCACTGATAACGCTGTTTCCGATCGCGAAAATGACTGTTCTGTTTGAAGAGATCGGTTCGGACTCACAGGGGGCTCAAGTTCCTCTAACCACTCTATTATGAGATCCAACGCTGTTTGGTAGATCTTCTCGTGTGCGTCCAATTGATCTTCCTAGAAGTAGTCAAGGTTTGCTCGTTTCGCCTTAGGGTAGATCTGCTAGAGAGCGGCATGGTTTTGAATGCACTGGCTCCAAGTTTTTTTCAAAGATGAGATTCTTGAACAAATTTTGGTCGTTGAGACGTTCGACCTTTTTAAAATTCTCGAGAGCCCGAGACATCATGGCATAGAAGCGCAACGAGCGCACAAAATCAAACTTGTTTTGATAATTCTTCGCTCGTAATGAACGATTTAACCGACTCAGTTTTTTTTTAAGTTACAATATTCACAATGGAAATGATCGAACGACACGTTATTAGCGCTGATATTTAACTTACAATTGTTTGCACACGAGATTCTCTGCTAAGAGTCGCTGAGCTATTTATTGCCAGTCCCTAAACATTGAGAGTCCCTGTAATTTGAAAATCACTTGAAATTGTTTCTTTAACACTACTTTATTCCGATCCGGCTCGAAGGACCAGAAATGTTTCGTTCGTTGCTTACGCGAGCTCGCGATTATGCCGTCGGAAGCGCGTTCGAAACGGAGACTGCCGGAACACACGTCGATTAACACGCCGAAACTTGTGGTGTGGCGGAACGGGAGTGATTAACGGATGACTCGAATGACGTGATTGAACTCACGAAATGACTGTTTTATAGCTTGCACTGATCACAATTAACAGTTTATTGCACTAATTGAACAATTTATATAAAGCGAGTCTACTTGCAACAAGTTGCACGCGACGCGCAACGCACACGAGAACCGCGGAGACGGGATCACGATATCCTGCGAGCGAGGATAACGATAAATTCGCGGTGCTGCGGAGTCAGGGCTGGATTCCAACAGAAATTCGGCAACTATCGGTTCTACTCCGAGAAATCGCGGTAGTGATGGTCTAAGCACTCGTGGATTCAAACAAAAGAATTTTTTAACGGGGATTGACTCGCGGACTGAATGATTAAGAAAGCTGAGAGGAACGCGCGTCCAATGCGTTCTCTTGATGAGGCTCGTCTAAACTGCGGGAAAAATTTTCTTCCCCGTGTTCACCATCCTGCGAGGACTGGTGATCCTCGCGATCCAATCGTTTTGCGCGACGTCAAATCACATGACTATTGTATAGCAAGGGTCATGAAATGTTTTCGCTTTTTAGGAGCGGACGAAATAATACGGTTGCTTTCGAAATCGCGATGTCATTGATTGAAATCGAGTTTCATGTTTCGCGACGGGATGGCGCCATCAATCCGATTTTATTCATACTGGTGCGGTCGTGCGATTGTCATGTGGAATCCACAGTTATTCTAATAAAAATAATATGGAAATAGCAGAATGATCAATAAGTATTATCTTAAGTACTTTTTTGCGAAGACAGTCTCAAATAGAATAAAAATTTCTTAGATAAGAACTTCTTCGCTACGATTATCTTAATTCATATATATGAATTCTATCGATCTTGAGACGGTCTTTATTGAATCTTAGCCAAGTTGATCTTAAGTAGCATCTTGAACTTCGTCTATGAATACGGGCCTATAATATTGACGCAAGTGGTGTTAGAGTTCTAAGATTGAATAGACCAAATGGAACGTCGTCCCATTATATATTTTTTGTATTATACAGTTATTAATTCTATTGCTGGTCAATTTTCAATTTCACAGTTTTTGACTGAAATACATACTTTGACTTTCATAGATCTTAGTTAATGGAATGGTGTAGAATAGGTGCTCCACATCCCAAAAAACAGACGCTTCATGACTTTTATTAACTGCTATTATAAAGAAAGTTACAAGTTATCCAACATACGGTTGCTTGTCGAAATATAATATCAGATTGTTATATGTATACGTGTCGCTCATTTTATGAAAACATATTCGATGCTCTGAAATCTATTTTACGACCAGTTCGTATTTTTTATCTTGCTGTTATTGGACTGTGTCGTTAAGTAGATGTGAGAAAAATTTTGAAAGCGCTTTTGATTTTTTCACAATGTGAATTAGAAGGCAATTTGCAAGGAACACGCATAAAATCTGATTGTGAGATTCAGAAACAATTTCTGAAACATTTTATCATCGGAAAAGAGATGATAATTTAAGGAAGAGCTTATTAGTAAAAAATCCATTCCAATATCTGACAAAGATGAGCAAACAAAGGAAATGTCTTCGAATTGATGAAAATGGGGAGAAGAAATAAATTGTGAGATTCAGAACAGTATTTCTCAGAATGGCATTTAGGCTAATGCACATTACGCATTTCATATCGCTATAAATTTTTACGTGATACTGGTACAATTACTTTATGGAGTAATATATGCACCGACAAATTTGGTTATGTACCAGTATTGAGTGCATCAGTTAAAAGTAAATTTAACAAATTAAAAAATTTAGTCATTAATCATTTTTTGAGGGTAGATAAATTTGTGGAAGAACATATTAAATACTTAATCAGACGCGTCATTATAGCAGATACTAATATATCTCAGAAACAAATTGATGTATCAACTAATATTTAATTATCCACATATTTTCGTCATTATCTTAATGTTGAATCTTGCTACAAACAAAATAATTTAGATTTCGTTAAAAAAATATGAATTTATCACAAAACACTGAGATAAAATTAGATCTTAATAAACCTGAAGAAAATGCAAAAAATGTACTTTTCTCAAAACAGTCAAATTCAGATTTAGTTAATTATAAACCAAATATACCTTTAGATTTTAAACGGAACTTTAAAATCTGTATAGAAAATAAAGCAACTCTCGATTTGACTGATACTGAATTACCAATAAGCGACCATGATTTAAAAAGCGATTAGTTGAAAAAAATGCGTGCATTTGATTTTAACGAATGCGACAATTTATATATGTCTAACAAAAAATATCGATGAGACACAAATAGGAAATAACCACAACCAACGAAAAACAAGTAAAACACTTAATTAACTTTATTATAACAAAAAGATAACGCGATAAACATTGATAAACAGTTTAAAAGAATTGAGCTGACAATAATGCACTCTAATGACTTGATAGCTATCTCAACTTTAATATTTCGTTGTTGACCAAAACACTTTTGCACGTCCTTCTGTAAATCATCTTCACTTTTAGCGCAATGAACAGTATAATATCGTTGCACGGAAACATAACACAGGGTTTTCACATTTTCTTTCCAGTTTTCTCTTTCTTCTTCTACTATTCTAAGAGTGACTTTTTATTGTGATCTTCAGGCAAGAGAGGGGTAAGTTTTCCGTAGACCCTTTGTCCTATAAAAAGGACTTCTCATGCCCCTGCCTC